TTATTGAAAATTCTCCTAAATAATATCCAATCATTTCAGGTTTTATTTCAATTGAATTAAATGTTTTTCCTTGATGAACACCAACAACACAACCGACCATTTCAGGTACAATAATCATATCACGTAAATGTGTTTTAATAGCTTGTGGTTTTTCTAATTCAGGTGTTTCCTTTTTAGCTTTACGTAAACGTTTTATTAAAGCCATTGGTTTACGTTTAAGACCACGTGATAAACGTCGTCGTGCACGACAATGTAATAGTGGCATTAATTGTTCATTACTCATATCTAATAATTGATCGAGATCAACACCACGAAATGTAAATTTACGAAATGTTCGTTTCTTTTTTAATTCAGTTGCACTTAAACCACCAGCTTCTTGATCAGCCATGATTTTATATCTATAAAAATAAAATATTAATTTAGACAAAAAAAAATCTTTTATTTTAATAAAAATAACTTACATTGAATTTGTTTGTTTTGGTTTGGTGAATTCAACAAATTAGTCGTTCACAACGACTTACGCTAGAATATCTAGAATATATATATATATATTTATTATTTGACGAATTAAATAATAAAAAAAAAAGAAGAGAATATTTTTCTTCATTATTCGTTTATTTATTTTATACAATTGAAAAACCAGAGAAAAAGAAAAAAAAGAGAGAACCTTCTTGTAGTAAGAGTATGAAAAAAAAGAGATTGAGAGAAAGAAGCGGCGACACTGCAACGCAACGATTATTGTAATTCAGAAGACATACACACGAGATACACACACGCAAAAGAAAAAAAAAGAAATTAAGTAAAAAAAAACCGAGAGAGACAAAAGATGCTAAAAGCGATAGACAGATATAGAGTCAGATCGAATACTAGACATGCACATTTGTGCAGGGCCAAATATAGTGGCTATTGCATGATGGACACCACCAATGAGTATTGTTGTCATTCCAAGAATCGAACAATATGTAGAACGAAAAGAAAAAACTTTAAGACACAAGAATCAATGACAATGACAACGAATAACAACATAGAAAAAAAAAAAAAAAAGAGAGAGACTAGAGAGCAGCAGCAATAATACGCGCAGTGCGTAAGTACAAAACAGATATGAGGTATGTATATATGACAAACAGACATAAAAAAAAAAAAGATTTCGGCTGCCTGTATATGTGTCACTGTTGGTTTTAGTGTTTTCTCTGTCGAGCGCGTTCAGAGATACACAAACAAAAAGAAAACGAAAAAAAAACGATAAATTGAACTAGAGGAAACAACTCGAGTTTGACTTTGAACATGCACACTGTACGAGAAATACACACACACAAATGAAAATGAGAAAAAAGAAATGAAACGACCATTCTAATATAATAGTGTAGAAGTGTGTTAATAAGAGAATAAAAGAGACACAAAAATAATAATAATAATAATAATAATAAACGAAAAAAAAAATGAGAAAGATAGATAGAGAGAGCCACATGCCTGTCTGTTTGACGACTAACGAAATATTTTTTTTTTTCTTAAAATTTTTTTCAAGTATTTCTTCTAAACCAAATTGTACTCTTTGAGGTTCAATTGAAGTATTGTGTCTTTAACAGCAGCAAACACAAAACGGATATTTTCGGTATCTAAATAAATATTAATTATTCAAAAAAAATTCAAAATTATTTGCTACTCAGAGCAAGGATGATATTTTATTGTGCTCATTGAAGATATAATGATAAATAATTGAACTGCTCAGTTAAATCTCTTTATCTATCTCCTCGCACCACTGCGCAAGTTTTATTTTCTCATCATTGTAGCAAATATAATTTAAAGAGATAAACTTACCAGTTGCACAGGTAAAATGTGAATAGATAATCTTATCACTATCTGGATTGAGATCAACATACATTTTTAAAATAAATTCGCGTGCAGCTTGGGCATCACGTTTAGGACCTTTGAATAAAAAAGTTCGAATAATTAAAATATTTGATCAAAATATTAAAACAAACCATCAAATTCAGGAAAATAATCAACCAAATGCGAATGCATAATTTTCTCTTCGAGCAAGTCTTTCTTGTTCAAAAAAAGGATCACAGATGAATTCGTAAACCATGGATAAGTTATGATCGTACGGAACAATGCTTTGCTCTCTTCCATTCGATTCTAAATTTAATTTTAAAAATAAAAAAAGAAAATCTTCATTTTATATTTTACTTCATTGTCTGATTCAACAAGAACTTGATCATATTCGCTTAATGCTGCAAGAAACATTATTGAAGTAACATTTTCAAAACAATGAATCCACTTTCGACGTTCAGATCTTTGACCACCCACATCAACCATTCTAATCAAATAGAAATATTTTATATACATATATAAATATATATATATATTTACCGAAAAATAATATTTTCAAGATCAAAAGGATATTCAATGATACCCGTTGTAGGTACTCGTACACGTAGGACATCTTGTTCTGTAGGTAAATAACCTGGGGAAGCAATTCTATCAATACTATCCAAATAACTAAATAGAAGAAAAAATTTTTTGTTTTTTTTTTTGTAAAACTAAATAAAACAAACAAAAAGGAAAAAGAAAAAGAAAATTGCTTTTACTATTTCGCTGAATCTGTCAATTGATATTCTCTTCGTCGATCATAGCACTCTTTTATTCCTGGATCATTCCAAAGACTTTTAATGGCTTCAACATATTGTGGTTCAAATGTTGTCACCGTTTCATAATCAACTGACCGTACAAGTGCTGCATGTTCTTGCTAGAAAACAAAAAAAAAAGAATAAAAATAAACAAAATAAATAAATAAAAATAAATAAACAAATATATAAATTCAAAATAATATTGTAAATAAATCTAACCTCATTTCTTTTATCTCTATATTGTATTTTGAGCGTATCCATAGCACGAATCATTGAATGCATTGCCATGAATATATTTTGATAAACAAGTTTAACAAATGAACGTTTATCTTCTTCGGAATAGCCTGTACCATGTATAATACGCATTTGTTTTATAAATGTTGATTTACCAGATTCTCCAGTACCTATTTTAGTAAATTATTTGATTTTCAAAATAAATAAATATTATATTTAAATTTACCAAGTAAAAGTAATTTTAATTCTCGTCGTTGATTTTTTTTATCAAGACGTAGTTGTTTTTCAATTTCACGATTTATTTGTTTCTGTTCACGTGCTTCAGCAGATAAACAGCACATCATCTTGATGATTGATTTGCTTTTTATTTTAAATATTTTTCTATATTTTGACAAATTCTATCGATATAAACTAAATTGACTAGCGAATTAGAAATAAATAAAGAATGATGATCATCTGCTTGTAATGTTTTCAATTGCTTGTGGAAATAAATAAAGACGAGTTAATGAAGAATTTATTTTATTTAATGAAACTGGACGTTTAACGAGAGACTTCATACCATCTAAAAAGATATTATTAATAGATTTAAATTAATGATTGAGTGAGTAAATAAACAAACAACAGACCACCATCATTATTACATACATACACAAAGAATGGAAGAGAAGAAGAAAAAAAAAGAAAAAAAAAAACAAATCATGGAGGATCGTCTGAGATTTTTTATACATTAAACATTTATGCATTTACAAGCTTTTATTTTTAATTTTATAATTTTTAGAAATTATTTTTTACTCTTATTTTATTAAAAATATAAAAATAATAAAAAATATTTTTTATTTTACAGTCAAATTTATTTTGTTATTTACTGGATATATTATTAACCAATAGAAAACTTCTTAGTCTAGCAATTGAGATCAGTGACTAGAAGCAATTGAAAACATCCGTTCAATGAATAGTTTTAACAATCACTGCCAATATTCAAGCGATCTATTGATGGATATTTATATATACAGCATAGATATCCATCGCGGGTGGAATTGGAAGTCTACTGCTGTCACGACGCAGGGGCAAATACAAAAAAACTGCCACTCCAACTATGGTTTTCGAAGAGTTCTTCGAAAAGCTATTCTGTCACTGTTCTTATTTAATATACTGAAATTGAAATCATTAGATTCACGACGATTCTCATTGTTGAACTTGTAGATACTAAAATCGGGTGCGCATTCATACAATTTTACAATCACTCTTTTGAAAAAAGAAGCTGCTATACCAGGTTTACAGTATTGCTGTGAATATCTTTGATATAAAGAAAGAGTCATAAGTAGTACTGCCATAAAAAATTGAAGTATCATCACTTCAATTCAATCGAATGAACTGATTTTTTCGTTAGGGCTAGAAGATTATTCGAAGTTTTTTTCTCAAACTTATAACGTAAACAAATATTACTGTTAATTATTATGATTGACTTCACTAAAATAGCAGTGTCCAGATTTCGTAAGTTAAGAACTCGTGGAACTTTGAAAAACGTAATTTCACTAACGAAACTCTCGGAAGAATGTGGATTTGATTTTTGGATTATCAATGTTAACATCCAGACACATATTTGAATACTCACAGAGAAGATTATATCGTTTATTTGTCATCGCTCGTGGCACATCTTGTATTTCGAATTTTCTGATGTAAGACACCATTGTATTTGTTTAAAATTGATGAATGATCTAATCGTGATGATGTCTATTTCGTTTGAAAAGCTACGTTTGGTCTAGGAGTGAAAATTTCGACAGATTCTTTAGCTTTTATTTTTTATTTTTCTTGTTGAAATCGTTCGAATTGCTTAAGTTTCGTGAGATCAGAACTGACAGAATCCGAACACATCTCTAACGATTTCAAATACAATTTATTTTGGTCATTTGTTGAAAACGAAATTATTTTATTTAAAATAAAAAGTTTTATTTAATAAGTAACTAAAGGCTTAGATTGTTTCAATAGAAGTTTTGATCGGATTAGTCTATTGAAGTTTTTAAGATAATCATTAAAAAAAATAAAGTAATTTCACATGTCGATAAATAAATAAATATATATATATATATATGTGACTTGTCATATAGAACTGTGCTGTTGAACGTAATTGTTTAACTAATTGATTGTTTTCTCTATGTTTAGATGGAATAACTTCGTATGTTTTTATCTTTGATTTTTTTTAAAATTATTTTTTATCATAAACAAATTTTGATATCAATAGTAAATGAACAAGTTGCTAAAAAGTGTATAATCATCAAAGATTAAGAATTAACGGGAAGTTTCTAAAAACTTTTGTTTGTTGAATTGATAATAAACTTTTAGATTTTCTATTTGTCTATATCAATTCTTGAAACTGAGTTTTTTTGTTAATTTGAAGACTATTCAATGTATATATAAAATATTGTTTTCATCAGATTTTTATAAATCGAGTTTAAAATTTACTTTAGAAAAATGTTGACTAAGTTAATATTACTTTGGTTATTAATGATCATGTGGATTTATATTTAAGTTATTTTACTTGAAAAATTCTCTCAATTCATTTGAAACTGAAATCACATAAAATCTTACTATAACGAGAAAACCACCTCATATGATATCTTGTGTTTGAGATGAGATCCCAAACATTAAGTAGGATCTGTTGAGACAAGAAAAAGCCTAGAGGGATTCATACTCATGTGCTATCCATTTGGAATTGTGACTATTACACATTAGATGCTTTTGGTACGGTATTTATTTTTAAAAATTGGACAAACGAATTTCGACTTAAACTTCTGTCTGTCAATAGGTCTTGAAGTCATTAAAAACATATAAAAGTTTCAACCAAAAAGAATGATGGTCTCTTTGAAAGATGTAAAATCCACAAAAACCGTTATATCCTATCAAAAACAATGAAAAATCTTGTTTTTGTCGGGGAGGGGGGGGGGTTGATATTTCTAATGAGGTGAAGAGGTATCCATGGACCAAAGTTTAGATCGAAATTCC